TGGAAGTGAATCTCTGAGTACCTGGAACCAAACACCTGTAGTTGTTTGTGAGGGTGCACTACTGCATGTAAAGTTTATCCAAGACAAAATGCCCAATAGTGGTTGTGAAGAGCCGAAGACGCGCCCCCCCAGAGCACAGAGGCAAGCGCCGGGGGACCCAAAGCCCCAGATGCCCAAAGGGACCCCAAGAGCCAACTCAGGAAATCCGACCCACCCACCAAGGGAGGAGGAGAGACAGCCCCGAGGAAGTCCCCCTGCCACCGCAATGCCGTAGCCCAGAGGAACTCCAGGGACGAGACCGCGGGCTCCGCCAAAAGCCAGCCACCCCAAAGTAGAACCGTCAATGGGCCCCGGGAACCCGAGGCCCCAGGGGCGGCCCGTGCCCTGCGGGAGCCCTGACCGAGCCCCTCATTCTCATTCTACATGACCACCAATGGATCATGGCAGCAGCGGCAGGGGCAAAATGCGCGGCTTAGCTCAGAGTCTGCGCTTTAAGCTCTATTCTGATGGTTCGCTCTCAGCAGTACGGCTCTTCCTGCTCTCACTACTTAATAAACTATATATGGCTGATCATCCGCTGCCAAGTGTAAAGAATCCCTTTGTCTAAAATCCTTCCTTTATTGGACATTTTGTCAGCTTGTCTGTCTGCTATATTAACCAATAGGATCTGTTGAACTAGATCTGCTATTTTCACAGCTTTTGTGAGAAACTTTTTTATAAAGTAGGGTATTAATTCATAAAAAAAGTTAATTTGAATTCTTTAAACCAAAGTTTTCTGTCCAACAGCAATGATGATTTCGACGGCAGCATTTTATACCCAGCTAATGTAGCATCTAGGATAGAGCTGTCAGTCTAGGAAAGAATCTAGTTCTTATTCCAAATTATAAAGGTTCCCTTTTTTTGCAACTTAAAACTGATTAAAACCTTTTTAAGTTTTAGTCGACTAAAACCAACTAAAACTATCCCATATCGTAATGACTAAAATATGGTGAAGACTAATAATTAAATCTAAGATGGCGCTAAAAACAACCCTGACCATGAGAACATCAAAAAACAAAAATAGTTCAGCTGGGAAAGGATCCCTGGAGTCAGAAGGAATCACCTTTCCTTACTGGAGTATAAAGATCACAGCAGCATCGGTCAGATTATAGCAGAATAGAAGAAGATTAAAGGAAAAGTCCGACCATCAAAGAATAATCATTATTTATACCTAAAACTAATAAGTTCACGGTGATTTAATGAATTTAGCGTTAATTACTAACCAAATAAAAACAATCATTTTAGTTGCAATCACTGAGTCTGGGAGCGGCCATTTTTACCCAAATATAGTAGCCCCTCCCTC